AGGAACAGTTGGTGGAAGAACACCAGATTCCTGATGATAGACAGGCAGTACAACAGATAAGATGAGGAGGAAATGACCCAGAGAACTGATGGAATAAGACGCAAACAACAGCAAAACCTCGAGGAAGAAGACCAGATCATTAGATGCCATTATTATTGAACCATTGTTGCTTTTTGACACTGTTTGATCGAGATTATATTACATTACATATTATATTATTCAATATAATTAAACACAGCAGCTTTTTTACAGCAGTTGAACCTTTTTAAACTTTACACAAATGTCTCCTCGCCCTTGCTGTATTTTTATGCCACACAGTTGGCGGAGACCGACAGCTCCTCTGTATCTGAAAGTTTAGCCTTGAAAAATTCTGATTGGTCAAATTGAGGGGAAGAACATCAGCAATAGCCAATCAAATTCGGAGGAATGGGCGGATCTACATGTACCCCTGGAGGAAAAAGTAATTACAACATTGCACAACCGGGTGGGGCTTTCACTAAAACCGATAATAATAATAATAATAATAATAATAATAATAATAATAATAATAAATGGTATTAAGAATAATGTTAGAACTATATACTTATCAAATCTGTGAAGATCTTTTGTTATAATTACAAATGTGATATAATTGTAATATAATTGTAGTCGATTTAATAATCTCATCCTATTTTTTATATTACTAAATTATCATGTTTGTAGTTCTTATAAAATATGTTACTATAATATACATTTTTTAATAAAAAGCTGTAGAGTATATGGCATAATTTTACTACGTTTTATGTAAAATGTAAAACTTTAAATTCGATTAAAAAATAAACAATGATGTTATTATACAAAACTATTTTATATTTATTGTAGTGGAGTGATCGTAAGATACAATTTGAATTTAACATTTAGGATTTCTAAATGATTGTACGAGTATTTGTTACAGTTATTTATGGTCATAGTTTGTATTGACATGAAAGAAGAAAAAAACTTGATCCCAGCATGCACCGGGGTTTTGCCATCTTGCCTGGGGTTGGTTGGAGTGTGAAGCAGCAACAGTAGTTTAGCAGGAGATCGCTAGCTCAGACCGCTGCTCTGGTAAACTGGTTATCTGTCAGCTAGCTGCCTGCTAGTGGCTGCTACCAGTAGTGAGCGGTCCTCAAGGCGGAAAGACAGAACTTGACCGACTTTAACTTATTTTCTTCTGACCGCCGCTGTAATATATTTGATTTTCGACCCGCTGATGGATTTGTTTACTTCACAGTTTCGCACATGCCGCAACTGAGGCAGGGGAAAGTAGCTAACAGGAGCTAAGAGCGCTACTCGGAGGAGAACTAGACAGAGCAGAGTGAGACAGAGAGGGAGGAGTCGGCCGTAGGAGCCCGGGCCTCAGGCTGAAGTACCGGCAGCTGCTGTTCACCAACAAGTTTGTCAAGGCCATTTCTGCTACCCCGCTGCCGGGACACAACAGAGGCCGAGTGGAAGGAGAACAGCAGTCAACGTCGGGCACCGCTGCGGGACGTTTAGCAGCTCTGGTCCCGGTTGTTGTGACACTTTTCTCCGCGGAGAGAGGAAGAGGAACGTTATGGAAATGAACTGTGACGGTACGAGTGTGAGTCATATCCCGCTACTGTGAATTACTTCGCAAGACATTTCGTCGAGCACTGAAGTTGTATTTGGGGGCAGACGGACCTGGCGCAGATAGTCAACATGTCGAAATTATCCGCTAAGAAGAAAAGTTGTTTCCAGATTACAAGTGTGACGCAGGCTCAGGTGGCGGCCAGCAGCATCACCGACGACACAGAGAGTCTGGACGATCCGGACGAGTCCCGGACGGAGGACGTGTCTTCTGAAATATTTGACGTTTCTCGCGATCCCGGAGCCTGTGACAGAAGCTCGTCCGAAGAAACCCTAAACAATGTAGGGGAGACTCAGGAGAGCCATACTCTCACCACAGGCCCTGTCAATGGGGGATTTTCCTTTAAAAGTTTAGGCACAGGACGTGTCACGCCACATAATGGGGTGACTCGACCTCATAATCCGCTGACAATCAACAACACCACTGTCACCACCAGTGTGGCTCACACTGCTCCTGTTAGCACCAGCTGTAGTTCCCGTTTCAGGGTCATCAAACTGGACCATGGTACTGGAGAGCCCTTCAGACGGGGCAGGTGGACATGCACTGAGTTCTATGAGAAGGATTCAGATTCCAATATTATCCGGACTGCGGACAGCATAAAGCCAACTGTGACCTTTGATCACAGTATAGACAGAGACAGTGGCCTGGGGACCACCGGCAATTCTCTGGTTACTAGCTGTGCATTTTCTGCGCAAACATTTGAGAACAACACAGATAGTGGCTTCTCACTTGGACAACCTAGTCATGTCGCCCACCCTTCAGAGCTTCAGCACCAAGGCTACAGCTTGGCTCCTCAGATCGGAAATGGGTCAAGTGCCTTCCGGCCCACAGGATACACAGCCACAGCCTCACAACAGGCCAATATGGTCAGCATGCAGCCTGCTGTTTCTCAGAACACCCTCTCTAACAGCATCAATGGTGTCCACCACGGTGCCATGCAGCAGTCACCTATTATGCCTCCTGCTACACAGCCCCAGCAGTTTCCATATTCAACTCATCCAACTGGCCTCACAGCTGGTCAGCCAGATTATCGACAGCAGCACTTTGGCTCAAGCACACAGAACCTTCCCTTGACAAATCTCTCAGTGGTACCTCCAACCAGCCAAGTTGTGTCCTCCGCTAGCAATGCCACAGCCATTGCCTCTTTCCACTTAGGAAGTGGCCAGCAGCAACCAGTCAGCCAGAATCAGCCTTCAGGGGGAATAGTCAGTGCACCTCCTGCACATTCTGTCATCTCAGCCACCACCACCACCTCATCCCTAAGTAGTTCCCAGAATGTTCCTGCCTCAGTGCCCAGTACCACCAACACCCCTCCAGGTGTGCCAATTCAGACCCCAGGTACTGGAGGGCTTGCACAGCCCCAAGGGTCCCTTGGAGCCACAACAGGCCTCCCCTCTGGCTTTATCAACCATGCAGAAGATGGTAGGAGTCTGAAGTCTGACACTCCATCGCAGCCTGGTTCTGTTATAGCCCCAGGAAAAGATGCTGGAAAGCCTTCTATCGGTGAGACCTTCAATCTGCCAACTCCTACTGTCAACAGTCTGTTTGGCATCCAGATAACAATAGATGGCAATGCAGATGAGGAGAGGTGAGTGTATGATGCCCCAAACACAAACTTATCCTTCGCTTGCATAATTTATATTTTTGTTTTATACTGTAGGTTTATAATGAAAAAGTAAAGCGTTAACTCGAGATGGCACTAAACCATTTCAGTAGGTTGTTTGTGTCTGGAAATTTTCCCACATATTAAACATTCTTGTTGCATTCTGCAGCACTGTGGTCATGCTCCACACTGTGGTGAACGCCTTCCCCCTCACCAATGCCAAAATTATGTGTGCTGTAAGTGGAAGGGTATGTTCTTGCTTTGTAAATACTAAATCCGATCCCACATTTTCATAGTTCTGTTTGTGAGTTTAAAGTTAGTAGGTTGTGGGCTTGCAGGACTGCTGGGGGTCTGTCTTCATCATTACAGGGCAGCCTTGGAAATGCAGTAACTTGTCCCTTTTACACAGCCACAGCTCCCCGAAGCCCATCTTCAACCACAGGGGCTGGGTGGATTTAAGGGGCATTAACAAGCAGTCGGGTGAATTACGACATGCACAGTAGCTGTGTTTTGGAGCTGAGAAGGAAGTAACTCCCCAGACATAGTTCGTTTTTATTTCACTGTCTGTCTAGGAAAGATTTTTGGCATTCGTGGCTCAAACAATGATTCAACACACTTTACTTTAGATCTTATAAATGCCAAGTATTTATTTGCCAACAATATTCTTCTGTACACACTGAAGCTATTTTTAGGGTCTGCTTTACTGACTCTCGCACAGCTTGAGCTGAAGTTACCTCTCACTGTTATTCAAAGTGACTGACATAGAGTTTGAGAGGTTTGAGCAGTGGAGGGCCTAAATGGGAGCTGGATTACACACACACACAGATTGTCTGAGCTTGTGTTGGCCACACATGTTTTTATCAGCGTACTCTCCTCTTCTGCTCTATGTTATGAATGAAACAGTCAGAGGAGGAGGGGGGGGGGGGAGGGTTATTATGTTAGGCCCAGATATTGCTAAAGATAATCCTTGTTTGCTAAGACAATTACTCAAGATTTTATCAGAGGAACAAGGAGTGTCCAAATTTATTTGTCACTTTACCATGTGTGTATGTGTGTAAAAATAAGTGTGACATCAGTGGCTGGCTGAGTAGCTATGGTAATGGCAGCAGGACAGGACAGGGCATGTCGTGAAAGTGGAGAGGACACACAGACAGCACACAAGTCACACAGACACACAACAGTGGCACTGGGAGTTGTGTAACATGTTGTGTACTCTTTGGCAACGATGGCTTGTCCAGACAGAGTCAGCAGGACAATGGCTGCTGCCTTCCACTCTGGCTCTCAGAGTCAAGTCCTTGTTAAGCCCATACATTTGACACATGGTCTCTGCTGAGAGTTGACTTGTGGTGACCAGTTTGAACTTGTTTTTTGGTTTTGGTATAGTTTTTTTTTTTTCTGTAGGCCAAAACCTAAAACGTACTCTATGCAGTAATTTATTAAAATAATAAAAAATGTATGTGGTTGTATATTTGTTATGGTGTTTGTTATTTAATGCTATTTGTAGTTGTAATGTTATATAATATTTATAGAATATATTTCAAAACTATACCTTTTTAACTTTTGCCAGACTGTTGCTGGAAGTGTACAGCACAACACTGATCAGCTCAGCACCATTTCTACATTAGATGTCCTTGTGTCATTTTTTGTTGAGTGAATATGAGAATGAGATTCATATAAAATAATAATCTTTTGTACCAGTTTACTCTGCTCTGGTAAAAAAAAAAACGAAAAACAGAAATGTCATTCCCTGCAGGCAAATAATGTTTGTAAAAAGCAGGCCCAAGAAGTTGGTCACTTTTTACTTACGTTCAGTGTATACTAAAGTTCAAGAATCAACCAACTGCCACCACTGCCAGTTCAAGAATCAACCAACTGCCACCACTTTTTTTACTCATTTATCATAGTGCTGTTTGTTGGACCACAGGTAATGTGCAATTTTGTCATTATTAAATATCTACAAATGCAGACTAAAAGATGGTTGGCTGTTATTACATATCTTTTTAAAGAGAAAACTCTAAATGTGTTCAGCTTGCTTTCTTTGAGTACATGTACACACACCCATTTGAATATTGGTTAACCTCAAATGTGCCCCAATGGTAGATTTGTGTTTATCAACATAACTGTGACCAGTGATTATAGTTTACATGTCTTGTAAGCTCTCTAAATTGGTTTTATATACACACAGCTCAAGGAACACACCCCAGTACAATGCAGATAAGAACTTCCAGTACTTTCAGTATTAATTAGAAGAAAACATGATTTTTGGACGATACTCTATTTTTTATTGTCCACCTTAGCCACATATAGTTTGAAATACTAAGCGTTATACTTGTTGAATTTTTTTTTTTTTCTGGCTTGACTCGTAAGAAAGTGTGTTGGAACAAAATGTGTACGTTAGTTGGTGCTTAAGTGTCGGTAGAGGTATGGCCTCTCAGCTCCTCGGAGTTGGTTTCTGTTTTGAATTAAGCTGCTGCATAAAAGTGGGCCCAAGCGTAGTGGGGGTGGAGTTGTGAGATGAGAGTGATTTCCCCTCAGCTTGGAATAGTTAGTGCTTTTTGCTCAGGAGGCTGCATCAATGCCAGATAAAATGATGAATCTACCCCTGGGACAAATTTGGTTTCCCTCAATAGGAACACTTGAGTCTTCATCTCAGTTCACTCTACTCTTGTGTAGTACTCTTTTTTTTTTAAATTAGGAAATATTAATAATACATATCTGAATGTATTTGCTCAATTAAAAACACAGTTTCACTGCATTTATTTGCCCTAATGTGAATTATTTAATAATAAGACTTAAAGATTTTTTTAAAAATCCTAATAAAACAATTGTAACCTATTTCTTATTAAAGATTAAAGATTTTTTTAAGAATAAAATCCTAATAAAACAATTGTAACCTAATTACAGAACTGGATCAAAATCGATGTTTTGGGGAGGAGAGAAAAATTGTTAGGTCTCAGAACATACCAAGTCAATAATTTTTTTTTTTTAATAATTGCCTCTATGTTAGTCTTCAATAGCTGGCTTTTCCTGCACATTTTTCACCTTTTTTTTCTGTGCTGAACAGCCTGACCCTGTTGCTTTCTTTTCCCTCAGGCAGTGTTAATGCCCCAGTTTTCTTCGAAGAGCCCAGCTACAGAGACGTCGGTGATTAATTACAGATTCTGATACTTTTGTCATATCTGTAATGATATATACCCACAATCTTCTGTCGAGGCTTTAATAGTATTGATTCCTTACCTGCCAGCAGCCTTATGCAAAAGTCATGGAGAAGTATTTAAAAGGGGGGAGGGGGGAATCAAATTTATACTCCTGCCTTCATTAATAACTGTGAGGGTTTTACATTTAGATGACACGGTTATGTCAATTAAAGTCTCTGTCTTAAGTAGCAGTACAATCTGCAGCTTGTGGTGGCAAACATACTGCAATGAGGCACTCGGCCCAACAGAAGGGAAGTAAACCAGCTGCCAAACTTCCAGACCTTCACCACTCATCCGATAGCTGACACATGATGTCACTTGCAATTGTGGAAACTCAAACACACTGAGGATAATTTTCACCTCCCATAGACCGAATGCCCCATGAAGTTGTAATGTTCTCTGCTGCTTCATAAAGTCAGTGTCAACCTGTGTTTGAATCCACAGTGGTTTTATTTGTGCCTAAATCTAACACCTTTTACACAGAAGCTTGCACTTTATTACACAGAAAAATATTTTTAAAGCTTAAGCAGCACCTTAATCGTTAGCTGCCAGTAATTGTCAGCTAAATATGTTATTGCACAACCATACCATATTTTCCCTTTCAGTCAAGTTTAGGTGAATGGCTTTTTACATTTTTTTTTTTTTACAACTTTAAACACACGCCCAGGTTACTTTAGGTCAAACTGTCATTCACACTAGGTAGGATTAGAGCCTCAAAAACATATGTGTTATTGCAATGAGTTGATGTTTAAATTCCAAAGGAGATCAAGATGTTAACTGCGACAGCAGTATGGCAATGTCACATTTGATTATTCGCAACTTATGCATAGCATTGGTTAACTAAATATAAATAATTTTCTTTTTAATGTTTGTTTGACAAAGATTTGTTACAGGGATATACAGTGAAATGTATACAGGTAGCTAAATGTTCACACTACCTCCACAGTAGCACCTCCCTCCATTTTTCCGTTCTGGCACTTTGACAGTTTTACACAAAAGCCGGTGAGTGAGAACTGGGTGGGTTGAAGAGACCGTTTTTTGTGTATCTTTATGCTGCGGGTTGTAGTTTAGTTACCACGGTACCCGTAAAAATAATACTTGAAAAAGAGACAACACTTTTTTTTAATTAATTTTAATTCTCTAAGCTACAGAGACTTCCAGGAGATTACTTTCAGGAATTCAAGCAATTAATGTCAGTTGCCACAGGCTGCAGTCTGATCAGATTGTTCTGCACCAGCCCTGACTTTTGTCAGATGTATGACTGACTTGCCTCTCGTTTGTAGTCTAATGTCAGTCTTCCTGGTTTTAGGGCCACTCTGATGCTAAAAGACCTGATGTACAGTCTCCTGTTTTCTTCATAGCTGCCAGGACTGTGTGACTTCCATTGTGCATTAACATTGTTGATTGAATAAATGGTGTCTTTCAGTTACCAGCTAATTTTGTAGACATTGTAAATAGTGTGACTTTGCCTCTTTCGTCATGTTTTTGGCACAATTTTCATCATGCTAATCAATAGCTGTGTATGTTTTGGTCCCCTTTTCCAAAGACAGCAACTGATTCATGCACTAGCAGAGAGAACAAAAACACACTTGTGCCATATTTGTTGTATTATTATACTTTGTTTTAGTAAAGTCTGAAAGTTCTGAAGTGCCCAGCAGTGGGGGGTTTAATTGTTTGAATCTTTTTAATTGAATGAGAATAGCAAAACCCACCCTGTTATCTCAGCATGTTGGGGTCAGGAGATCACTTTCAATTAGAGTTGATCTGCCAAAGCAAGTAAACAACCTTGCTCTTGGCCACGGACCACAACCATTCCAGTTTGTTCTAGAAAGCAGGCTGTTGAAATAGCCGCTGCATATGCTGCTGCAGGGTGTTTCCAAGCATGAACTTGGTGTACAAACTTTTTTTTTTTGTATTTGTTGTCCTTTCCGAAATGGTCACAACACAGAACAGGTTAGACTCCTCTTTGGAATGGTTACACTATGTCAAGTATGTGCTTTAGCTTAGCTAAACCTATGTCGACACTTGTTGACAGGTGCTTCTACCTAGCTTGTAGCTCGACTACATGGAGAGAAGGGCTATAATGACCTGAGGAACTTATTCATCCCTGTTTGGCAGTGTGTTGTTGAATTATGTTGTGTGGTTGAAGTCACACAAGGGTCCTGAGTGGAACCAAGAGCTCAACAAAGAGGTTTCAGTGCCCAGGCCCCCCTGCCGGGTCCCAGGATGTATGTACACTGTGTAAAAAGGATATGAGGAAAATGTGGAAGGCAGCTGCATTTGAGTCATCCATTCTTTTCCTGTATCCTTATCTGATTTCAACGGATGTTAGCAACCAGTCGAGTCGCCAACCACCAACTGTCTGTCTGTTGTACACTTATGTGCATGTGCAGATGTTCTGTATATGAGTGGGTTTTCACCGTAAACACGAAGACATCCTGCTCAAGAGGTAAATTCAGGTCATATGTGTTTTGCAAATTTAATCTTACTTTCCACCAGACAATAAAAAGTTGCATTTTTCTACTGAAGGAAGCACCAGACAATAAAAAGTTGCATTTTTCTGCCACAGGTTTCGGTAGAAGCTAGTTTCCTGCCTTGCTTTGATACCCGCTTCCTTCTTTGTCGCCTTCCTCTTCTTTCACTCGTGTCAACTTGTATAGTCTCATGAGATAGTGTCTCATCTCAGCAGCGTGAGACTACTCTTCACCCCCTCCTCGCAGATTTTAGTTTCTAACAATGAGCTTGCTTTTGGAAGAAAATGGATGTGAGTCATTGTGGTTGGATAGAGTGATCACAGTTTATTCACTGAACTGAAATGAAAGTGTTGAACAGATGGTACCTTGGTTTCTTCCAGATTCTGGAAGGATTTGTCATTAATGCCCAAACTTGTTCGTCCTTTCACCCAACGAGCCCATGCATAATGGTGGTAATCTTTCCACATCTAACAAATGGCTTGCTTTAATTATGTGACAGAGTTACAGTAACTGCAAGTCCTCATTTTTAAGTAATTATTTTCACAGTTTTATCAACCATCAACTGTTGTGATTCAGCTTAGCTAAACTTAAATCAACAAAATGCTAATTCCTCAATGTATAATCTAAGCCTATTTAACTGGTTAATGTAATATTACCCCTTTTAGTGCAAAAGAACTAGTAGTTCTTGACTGAGAGGAGCCAAGTTGACCTTTTGGTCAGCAATAGGGTTAGGTATGATGACTAGTTCATACTGAATTTTCGCACAGACTTGTTATTGTATTCATCATCAGTGTAAGCTTCTAAGTTTAACCTGTGAAAGCATCTGAACCACAGCCCTGTTTGCCTTGAAGTTGTAAAACATGCACATAGGTAATAAGTCAGCACACTTGTCTACAGGCACGTCACGAGAAGACGTGTAACTCCTGTGGAGTTGTTTGTCTAATTAGCACACCAAAAACCTCACTTGAGTGTTTTGGTTTTCTCTTAAAATGTGGGGGTGTTTTTTAAGGTAGGTTGTGCATGAAAAAGTTGCTAAAAAAATCCCTGTCTGGGGCACCACTACAATTGTATGATAGTGTTGTGTGTGTTGCTTATCTGCTGCCACAAGGTGTATTTTGGTTTTTACATTTGGTTTAAATGATGAAACTTTTTACCATTAGTAAACAGACATAATAGTTGGTAAATTAGTGTGGAAGTTTTAGCTGCTTTTAAACACCATAGAAAGACAAAAGTTGGATGATAGTACCAGAATCCCTCCATGGCATTCTCCCTGCAGTTGTTGACCTTTTTCATTTATCTATCACATGAGTGTATATTTGTACTTATATCTGTTAAAGTCTTTTTGTGGACTTCTTCCAACAGTGTAGTTATCTGCCAGTGTGCCAACGTCAGAGCGAGGTCAGCCAGAGAACTCCATACAATGGAAAATATTCTGCCACCCCTTCAAGTGGTGCCACTGGGTTGACCTCAGCTATTGGGCATCATGGGCAGCTGAAACTGGGAGGGATAGTCTCCTGGCATTTTGTGACTGACCTAGGAATTTCAGCCCACATTTCAGTTGTCGTTTGTTAAAATTTGCTTCATGGGTGTGAAGGGTCACCCAAGCCATTTAAAATATAGAACTCCCCTGAAAATAATTTTTGAACTCCTTCTATAGTCATAGGCATAAATGTGTATTGTCCCTCCATGTGCAATAAATGTGAAACAAACAGTGCCAAAAATATTTTCCATGCATCATAGCTGTGCTATAGTAATAAACAATGGTCGATATAATGGTCGTGGTTAAACTAAAACTACACTAAATAAAACTACACTAAATAAAACCCTCTAGTCAATATAGGTTTAAGTGAATGCAGTTATGCCATGACTTACAGGACACACCCAGAGTATGGTATGTAAAAGGAGTGTGATTTCTCACAGGAATCTGCTATTGCTTATTCTGCATGAAGATATGATTACCTAGGCAACCAGCAACAACAGCTTGGAGGGCTGTTGTTTAAAGGCACAGTAGTAAACTGCTCTAAGAGGGGGTAACTTGGCTAAAATACCTTGAAAACTATTTTTGTTGAATGAACCTCTTAGAGCACCTTGAAAACTATTTTTGTTGAATGAATAAATCTGGAAACAAAAGGTGCATCACGGCTCATTGACTGCAGCAGTAATGTCACTTTTGTAAGAAGAGTTTGTAACCAAAGGTCATAAAAAAAAAGTTTAAATGTAAAATGTCCAGTGAAATGTCCATGTGTCCTTGTTATATTCCTTTAACTAACATTACCAATATGATCAATGACACCTGTTTATATTGTAAGGGATCATTAGCTAACATTGTTCACGGCCACAATTCTTTGTTGTTTTGGTCACATTGGTGTCTGTCAGTCGACTGACCTAGCTACTTGACCTCAGAAGTCAGCAGAAAGTGGCTGCTGGCTTGTGTCTAAACAAAGCGTCAACAGACCAAAGGCTTATGGCAGAGTGCACTGGGCCAGGATCACGCTTCAGGAACCAATTCCACACTTTATTTAACCCACAGAGTTGGTGAACTTGAGCCACTGGAGGTGAAATTGAGCAGATAGAATGCCTCTGTAGCTGGGGGCCGATGCTATCAGCTACCATCCGGCTGAATGGGCCACCCTGGATCACGGGCCATCCTGAGTTCTACTGACTCATCTCTACTCATGCTAACAATTACGTGTAACCCAAGCATAAATTAACACCCTGCACTCACCAGAATGCTCGTATCAGTGTGACATATTTTCTCATCTTTCGCTGCCTTTACATATTTGCCAGTCTTTGGTGATGTGTTCCAGCCTGCCTTTAACATTGCTAAGGCCCAGGTTGTGATCATACCTGCTTGTGTTTTTTTTTTTTTTATGGTCAAGTCACAAATACCCCAACTAACCACCTCTTCACTGTTTTGTAACCCTCCTGTAGGGGGGTGGGTGTGGTTGTGTTATCAGTGGTGATTAGCTGCACAGCTGGGACTTTGCCTGACACATGCATGACTGCATGTTTGATCTCATGCAGCGTGTCACGTACATATTGCAATAGGTAATTTTCCCTCTGTTCTTTGTCATCTGCTCATCATCGCCTTACAGTATGAGGAGAACTGTCTCCCTTAGTAGTTCTCATTTAATCACATCTATTTTTTTCTTTAATTTCCTTTTGTGGTGTGCACACCTTCACCATTTTAAATATTATCTTTTGTAGTTTTGTATACTTGCTACTACTTGTGAGGGAGCTTTACCTAAATCCACCTCATTATGCATGAGATCCTAAATTTCCCAAAGGGAACCCCCCGAGGGATTAATACATTTCTATCTACCTATCTATCTATGAAAATTAGTTGCAGCAGAAGTAATGTTAACATAATGCTTAAATGTTCTTGTTACCACTGTTTTTTGTGTTGCCTGTCCAAATACAACGTGACTTTTTTAACATTAAGGAATTACCATGATTTTGTATGCATGTAACAGTTTTGAGGCAGAATTTATGAATATTTAAAAATATTGAATAAATGTGTGTAAAAGAAAAAGCAGAAGAACAAATTAGAGAGGGAAAAAAATTGTTAAGGCTAGTGCCTGATTTAGTCATTTTGTTTCAGTACAACACAAATGTCGGCAACATAAAAAATGCACTCCATTTGTTAGGCAAATGTAAAATTTAAATATTGAAAGTAGCCCAAAATAACACCTTAAACATGGCGTGTAATTATAGGCTTCACTTCCCCTTTTTGTTTGGCTCTCTACTTCTCTGCTCTGCAAATCGAACACAGACAACAGTAAAAATTACTACCTTTTGTAAAAAAAAAAAATTGAACTAAAAGATTTTGCTCTTTAAGCCAACAGGTTATTTAGAAAGTCAAATTGGATTTGTGTCTGTTAGAGAGGCATGAGAAGAAGAAGAAGAAGAAACATACAGCAGCTCTTCAGCAGTTCTTTTTTTGGCATTTTCATACTCTTGCTTTCCTGGTACCCTTCAATCTGCTGATATACCATAATTGGGCACTTCCTCTTTCAGTGTGACTTGTTACAGCAAGTTTCTCTGGTAGTTACTGTTAAAAAAAAAAAAATTCAGACTCAGCTCCTTGACTGATTTTCTCTTTTGCTAGTTTCAGAATAAATACAACAGTATCTAAAGAGAATTCTCTGTACTGACTTACTGTACTGACAATTTCCCTGTAAAAAAAAAACAACTAACAAACTGAAACCAGTTGTCAACCATTATATAAATCTGGACTTGACATTGACCAAGGCACAATCTGGACCAGAATTGACCTTGGATCAAAACTTTAATGGTCTTCCAGGAATCACCCAACCATCAGCGTTAGCCTCAGCTGAACACCTGCAGGGCAAGAGCTTAAGAGCTAAAGCATGAAAATCCAGAAAATTTCAATAACTTTGACAGACGGATACTTACTTCGAAGTCACGCACAGTCATTTGTGCATCAATCAAATAGAAAAATAAATGCCTTTGGGGTTGAACAAGAGTCCTTGTCACGTTTTCTTACTGTTCAGTTAAATGAAAAATTACTTTCAGACTTTGTAAACCCACCCATATTCTTCTCGAGGCTGTAGGTTAATAGCATAGAAATACCCACTTGACAACATTCTGGTTTACACCTTTTCACACGCTTTTTTTAACATGATGTGCATTTAATGACAGTATATTTTATCAACTCAGTTTTTTTGTTGATACTGATATTTTAAGTAATAAAATAATTAAGAGAGTAATAGTGTTGAAAAGAACGGTTCATGCAATCAAACTAAAGTAGTTTTTCCTTTCCTCTGTTTACTGTTTTCAATTTTCTGGACATGTTATTTTTGGGCAGTCATGTCATTTCAAATTCAGACTATGGTTAATGTTTAAAACCACTAAAAACTTTAGAATTGACCGACTAGACCTGTCAACAAAACTATTTGGCTTCTTTCTCACAATCTAAAATCCATCCATTTCTACCACTAAATCCTGTCCAGGCTTGTTGGAGGACAGAGAGCTAATCTTGATAATGACTTGGTGAAGGCTTGTCAGTCAAAACGTTTTTAATGTGATAAATACAGTCAGAAATAGGCTAATTTTACATAAACGTGTATACAACCAGAATTGCTGGAAATTTACTTTGCATAATGAAATCTATGGTTTTCATGATTGCAGTTAATAGGGCTGGAAATTTACTTTGCATGATGAAATCTATGGTTTTCATGATTGCAGATAATTCATATTTTTCTTTGGAAACTTTTTTTGTTTTGCTCAAAAGCCAAAACAAACTCATGAAATCATGAAAAAACGTTTTTGTTTTGCTCAAAAGCCTTTATGCATTTATGCTTGAAAAACAAACTCATGAAATCATGAAAAAAGTTGTTGTTGTTATTCATAAATTGTTGTGGCTCCACATTATTCCTGATCCCTTTATTGTTGTCTAAGGTGTTGGTTCATTAGTGCTTCCTTCAGTAAATCACAGGTTAAAAACACTGCCCCGGTTTGAACACTAGGATCCATTCAGTACATCACGCCTCTCTTTGCTGCTGCATCAGGTTTGCACTGCTAAAAGCAGCTCTGCTAGGATTGTAATCAATGTCCCAGAAAGAAAATCTACCTCTAGGCTTTAGTTTGTTCCAGAAGTAGAATAGAAATATAAATACCTTCATGCAAACTTAAAGCCCTCAGACCATGGTTGCACTCTTACACACATCTGCACCACATGATCAGTGCTAGTTACCAATGCACATAAACAGAGAACAAAACAAGCATTTTGTGTTTTTATTCTTGGCATGATTTTATATGTAATATGTTGAGAGTCAAGTTTTTCAGAACTCTTTAATGTATGGATATTTGTTGCATCTAAACACCTACTTAAATTATACCTGGGTTGGAAGATGTGGAATTGGTGAACCGTAAGTCACACAGTTCATGTCATACTGTAAAACAAGAGCAAAAATATGAAAGAGACTTTTGTACTTTGAGCTTTCATGTCCTGCTATGAAGTGTCTCTGCTGATGAAGTTCTGCTGCTTGGTGTGTGAACGCCAGATAATTCCTCAAGTTTTCACTGGGCTAATACTGGCTTTCTGTCTTAAACTGATGTGCAAGCCATGTGTTTCAGACTTCTCTGATTGTCCCAGTAAAACTGTGGGTTTGTTCAGAGAGGATGGGCCCAACTGCAGCTGTTTAGTAAAATGTTGTGTGTGAACTCTTTAAACTTACAGCGTCTGAAATCCTCTCCATTCCTCGAGGAGACTCAAAAGTCTTTAGCAGCACTTTGTGGGCAGTGACAAAGATAAATCTGTCAGAGACTCAGATATGAAGGCGAAACAGTAAATCACTCCTGACAGTCAACAAGTAAAGTAGTGGATGGTTAACCCGTTTTTTTTTTTAGTTTGGCAAATTAATTGGTTTCTTCTAAGAGCTTTTGTCTCGTAGGATCTTGTTTATGGTAAAGCGGTCCACTTTAAGGTCTCGTAGACCACCCCTGCATTTTACTGTTAGATGGGCCTCTTGTCCTGCACATTTATTGTGTAAGTAACAAGATGACTGACATTAACATGACCCCTTTAGGAACATGCTGTCTTCTGTTAGCAAGTGTACCATTTGACAAGTGTACAGTACAAAGTTTTTAGTTTAAAAAAAACTTACATAACAATGACTTTTGTGCTTGATCATAATATATAAAATATACATTATATACTTTTTTAAAATTTTGATCATGGTTTTTTTATATGTATAATCACTAAAAATCTTTTTGGCATGAGGATTATGTTTTGTTTCAGACAAGGCTATTAATTTAGTCTGTCTGATCTCATCAGCTCATTAAAAAAAAGAAAAATCAGTTTTCCAGTCAGAGATTTGCGTCTGGCAAAATGTGTGCTTAGTGTAATATAGATACCTTGTGTAAAAGATACCCATATGTGAATAAATATTTAATGTGGCATGTAATTATATCCTGTCTTTGTTTTGTTACTAAAACCTCCCCGGTGTGAAGTTCACTTTCATCTCTGCAGTGCTGTCTGGTTAAGTATTTGAGGGACTGTTGTACGTTTTTGCCCGTCTGTATCTGACAAGTCGAGAACAAGTTAGCGTTGTCTTTCCTTTTCTCTAGCTGATGGTACATGTTTGTGTCATGCGAATGTGTGGGGTTGAAAATTGATTTGATGTCACAATATCTTGTCCAGTATTAGGTGTCATGGCGGTACATGGTAACAAAGTTCTACAGAAAATTGGACAAGTAGGGCACTAACAATGCAGCTACATTTTCAAATGAAATACAACCAGTAGTACTATATTATTCGACTTATCTCTATCGGACGGTGACCTTTTGACCTTTGTTTCATGCGTTCTGTCTGTGTGTAGTTGTTCCTTGAGACAAACAGAAACACTATATGTACAAAGACACTCCGATGTGTGTGTTTCTTTTCCTTTACTCACATTTCTCCTGTCTCTGTTTCCTCCGACATTAAAATGCAGGAACCCATCCACAGCTTTCTACCAGGCTTTCCGGCCTTGCAGGTTGCGAGGGTCAAAGCCCATCAGTGATAGGTATGAGCACGATTGTGTCTAAGTGTGTGTTTTTGGCCTGGACTCGCTGGCTAACACAGACTCTGCATCTTTATAACCAAGCATACTTTGCAAAATACTGGTCTTTTTTTTTTTTTTTTACTTTATTAAGAACTAGGGGTTTCATGCTGAGACAGGTTTAAAATGAGTATAATTATGTTCATTATTATCTTCATATAATAGAAACAAGAGCTGTGGACCAGTTGGAAACATTGTGATCTAGTCACAAGTCGTGCAAAGTATGGCTTTCACTTGGCATTAACAAGGCTACAGACTAGTCGTTTTTTTTTTTAGAGAGCATGAACTGATTTGAACTATAATGCTCAAATGCTTTGGCAATAGATCTGCATTTTGTTGAAATAACAGTATGCTGTTTTTGCAGCTGTTTTGGCCACTGATCTCATCGTTTTGCTGCTGCTGAAATCCCAGTGTCCCAATTCTGTACTTGTATTTCCATTAATAGGGCCTCACAGTACCTTTTTGTGTACAAGGTCAGTAAAACTTTCTAGGACTTGGTCAGTGTGAAGGGATTCACAGTGGAAATGTTATAAAATAAAAAAGGACAGTAGAATTAGCTTCTGAACATCTCCTCTAAATTGGGACCATTAATGAGCTGAACAGGGCTATTAGTGTTGGAGGTTGTGGTTACAGGAGAAATGAATGAATTACACCGAAAATGTCCAGCTGGTCCCGAAGGTTTATGGAAAAGGAGGCTACTTCTCTCGAAAATTTATGATTTTCATAATTTTTCTAATCATCCCATGGTCTCATATACGAGTCCCAGATATACTTCTATTAAATATAATTTTGTAGCATTACAACAAACAAACATAAAAATAAATCACTGAAAATTATTTTCATAAAATGACCTTATATTTTATGGACTAAGAATGTAGTCTTTGTTTGTGCGAGCCAATGTAAAGCATTCACGTCTGCATCTTTACTGTACTGTAAAACAAGTAGTCAGAACTATGTACTGTGTAGGCCAACCACGACACAAACGTTTACTGACAGGCTTTATATGTTGTATGAGAACCAATTTTAAATAATAAAAAAAAACGCTAAAAAAATTGGGCTGTTTTTAAATGACCAATATATCACTTTCTTTATAATGTATGGCACTGTTTTTTTTTTCCTGTTCAGAAATTAGCTTTGTTGAGTTGCATAAATAAGTCTTCTTTTTATTTGAACATACATAAAAACCTATGTGAAAATTACTTTAAACAGCTGTTGTCTCTGGCGTAGGTTACATGTTATATACAGTATGTTGATTATAAGGATATCACATTTTCGCTCTTTGTACTGACTCTGAAAAAAATGTCCCTTTTCACCCTAGAAAGAGTTGTGTAAGGTGAGGTCTGGCTTTGCTTTTTTATTTTATACAAAGAACCATGCTTTACTTAGCTACATAAATGGGTTCACCATTTCATGTTATTCCCATCTGTGAGGGTGTAATGTATAGAAAAGCATTGCTCTGCTGGAAGGTCACGGTGCATTTTGTGACGTGCTGCCCTGTTACTGTTGGAGCAGCCTTTGTTGTGCCTGTTGTGAGGAGGCCGAGCTCACGTTTCTCATGCCTCTAAATCTGAAGGAGCATATTATCTGAGTTTAAACACTGTAAACAGAACATCACACTGAGCTGACAAGACAGTGGTTTTGTTTAATGATACGTGATCCTTTTAGGCGTGGATCCTTGGGTGCCAAGCTGGATTTCGAACAATTGGATTTGCAGACGGAGCATTCAATGCTAATTTTATGTTTAGTAGATTTAGAGCTACAGCAGACCTATGACTGGAAGAATCTTTATCCCTCACACAGACAAGGCCACTCGAGGGGGGGTAAGAGCTCTGGCAGATGCATCACTAACAGGAGTTAATGTAACTTTTATGAGATGGGCACAAGAAGATATTTAAGGGAACGGTTAACTGATCATTCGATATTGATGGTAGGATGCAGTTAATTAAATCTGATTAAATTAACAACATCCACTTTGTCACTCTGTGACTAACAGAACATATTTTGTTGTCTGGGGCTGGGAGCACATAGTGTTCTTTTCTTTTTTTTCTTTTTTCTTTTACTATGCAAAAGAATAACATGATCATAAAAGAAAATAAATATCTGTTGAAGTTAATTTGTGACGCTGGCTAATTATATCTGCGGTTTACATGAGTCACAACCACCTTTTGTTCCCAAGAGCTCTCTCATGGAGACTGTTGAGGCATCTTGACTGGATGCCATCGATCTTTAATCAGGCTGTCAAAAAACACTGACAAATGCTGCAGTTGAGGTAGCAGGGGCTTATAGTTTTGGCTTGTGCAGGTGTGTGACAATTTCTCATAAAATGTTTGACACAGCAGGTTTTAGTTTGCGTCCCAAAACAAGGGAGCCTTTAAGGGGACACAAAACATCCCAAAGTAAATTTGAAAGAAAAAAAAAGTTTTAAAACAGTGTTTTGTGTTTTATAATGTCTTTTAGTTTATTTTTTGCTATATTTTGTGATATAGCGAAAATATCGCGAGATATCGGATTAAAACAAAAAACTGCAATGTGCTGAGGTAGTGAAAGGAGAGCCGTGATATAGAGAGGGAACACTGTGTCTCATTGATTCCATCTTATGGATATCAAAAAAAGTAGCCAGTGCCAATTTATTATTGCGTATTAAATTGTTTCTTCTCAAACTTTTCTTTAACCACAGGTCGTGTACGCAGGAGGAGTAAGACATGTTTTCTCTGATGCTGATTTTCACAAGACTATGTGAGAATCACTTCGTAAACCCACAGTATATGCAGATGAGCCACCACTTTAAAACAAGTTTTCTGTTTTTGTGTTGTGGGTGATCCTCGTAAATCATTACATGATTATTGCCATGGGAATATCCTCTTTCACATAAAACAACAGTAGCAGTTGAGCAAGTCACTGTTTTTGTAAATGGCTGAAAAAAATATCACGGCTCTTTTTTGATCACCTTCCAGCTCATGTTTGCCTTTAGGCTCCATGACAAACAGTGTGCCTTTTTTTTAACTAAACTCTTCAACTACCCGCAGGAGAGGGAGGTAGAGGGCTAATTCCACCTCCTTTTGTCCTGATCCAACCCTCTTACAAGGCTGGACTTGCTGGAAATGAGTAGTGTATAGGCCCTACACATTTTGAGAACTTAAAGGACATTTGGGATTCTTCTATGATTGCTTTGTGAAGAGTTTAGGAGCTGCTCAGCTGGGCAAAGTAGCCCTTAATTACTGTTGCATAACCATTCTTCTTGTTTTGGTGCTTGTTTCTACAGCGCTGTGGGCCTCAAAACAATTACCTAAATTACGGTTTCACTGATCTCCTTGCTAACATTGCCCAGAATTACATGGTTTTTGCAAAGAAACAATCAAAATGCTGTGTAGCTGCCTCAGTACTCCACATGATTAAAAACGAGTAACTTGTTAATTTAAATCTCCTGGTGAGAATCATCCTTGGGTGGTTTGACTTGTGTGTGAGTTCAGACTTATGTCAAAATAGAGTTACATTGCAATTGTCTTGCAGAAAAGTCAACACAAAGTACATATATAGCCAGTTAACAAGAAGTAATTTTATTAAAACACGTGGCTAATTTTTTAGAGGAGCGGCTTTTTAAATTTAATCTCAATTTACAAATTCAAAAAACTATTAGGATTATGCTTGACAGTTTGTCTCAGCAGCATGAGAGGAGATACTTATACTATATATAGTAAATAGATATTATATAACCCTGAAAAACAGATTACATCAACAATGAGGCTGCACGGAGGTTGAGAGGAAGTGCTTTTGAGATTGTGCATGATTCCAATTGAAGTTGTAAAATATTTCCCCAAAAGTAGATTTTAAAAATGTGATTAAGTCTAATATTATGCCAAAAATTTTCACACGTAACATGCTGTAATGTGGTTATCTCATTTATTTGTTGTGTAACGCTCTTGTGAATGCCGCAACGTAACCTCCTTTTTGTAAACATTGGGAAAAACATGTTTACACCTTTACACACTTAGACCTACGTGTTTTACCTCAATCGGTATCACTATTCTTACAGGTTAACAAAAGTTAGTCTGACCACTAAAATAGTTATCTACTGTTTAACTTCCACTTGTCTTTTAAATAAATATTTTGATTGCTAGATAATACCTAGTCGTTTTAAAAGCATTTAAAGAAACACGAGTATACATGTAGTTTTTCTTTCTACCCCACACTCAGTTACTGTCAGTTAGAGACATTCACAGCTGGGAGATACCCAGTATACCCACAGGCATCTGGTTGCCATTAAACACTGATCAGCAATAAATCATGAGCTGCTATTAAGCATTTTAATGTAGAAAAAGAAAAGTATTGAAAAAGTATTGAAAACGATTTAAAAAAAAAAAAAAAGAAGCCCTGTAGGAGTATAGGAACCGTCGAGATTTTTACCAATATTTAAACAGTTGAAGAACCATATAATAAAATGATATGGTTTTCCTAATTAATAACTGTCTTCTTTTAGTGACAAGCAGTCTAAGAATTATTTAAGTATTTCAGCCTTAAAATGATTTGAACCATATGCTAAAATAATATTTTCCTTCTGATAAAACACGGTTTGTAATGAAGATGTTATGAAGATTTTTTTAATTTTTTTTGACCGTTGCTTTGATAGTGATTATTTAAGACCTAATTACTGCGCCCCTGGTGTGTTTCCATGTGGATTTTGGTGGTCACATTGCACATCATTATTTCTCCAGGACGTGGCTGTGTTGACTCTGCAGTCATTGACAAACATTCCAGCTGGAGTTATTTTAGTCCAATCATGGATTATGATAACACAATCTTTCATAACCTATCTAAATTGAGTATGATGAAAAAATGATCCCCTGCTACATTAATAACTGAGATCGTGACTGATTTTAACCCTTGGGGGCCCCAAATTCTGCATTTTCCCCGTGGTGCCCATGTCTGAGGGCAGGGGGCAGTCTTTGAACCTGTAACCAGGACAT